ATATCATTCATTGTAATATGTTCTTTCAACGGGAAGTAAAGATATATTAAACATCTAAAAACCGTTACGATAGCCACGCCCTTTTTTATATGGTCTATACAAACAGTTTTTCACATCTGCAGCCATCAAAAATCATCTTATGATTCACTCTTTGAGTATTTTAGAAATCAAAGTAACAATTTTTGCATGGAATGAGTTCTAGATATCAATGATAAGGGCAAACGTTTTACAGGCAAAAATTTTGAAACATTATAACAAACATGCTCTGAAACCCAGTATACAAAAAACATATATGTAGATTTACATTTTAACTCACTCACTCACTCATGGTCGATGACATAGTGACGGGAGGACTTCCCAGAAGGCCCTTCGTCACAAAAAGCGAAGCAAATATCAAAGTTCTTGAACGAATTTGTTTCATTTTAATCATTAACAAAATCCTTTAATATTTAACAAAGATTAATTACAAGGAAGAATAACATTTTTGACCAGTAAAGGTGTGGGCTTAAAAAGGAGGGAAAGGTCCAATCGTATTAATCAAAGAGGAAAGGCAAGGGGAGGAGAAGTGCGTTGAGAACGGAATTGGTGTTCATTGTGTCAATGTAGCAATGAAAGCTAAAGCGTGAACTCACGGTAGGATAAAACCGCTACGTCCTATTCCAATACATGCGCATTGCCTCGATAAAATATAAGATAAACTATATATGGACAGTAAAATTACTGTATGTCCTAAGTAAGCACAAATTACCTTTTGTTACGTGAGTACCATCGTATGGCAGTAAAAACCCAGTGATTGTTATGCTAACGATAAGCCAAAATTAGACTATTTATATGATTTCGGAAAATTACTGAGGTACAATGACGCAAAGTGACCAATGTAAAATTACTAGTGTCCTGCGCGTGACGCATCCAGCGTAAACGCTAAGTAAAGCGGCATTTAAAACATAACAATTCTATATTTATTTTTTTTTCTAAAAATACAGTGACCTAACGCGAACTAGTACTTATAGATTTGACTCATACTATGTAAATTTCATATAAGCGCAGCATGACGCTTAATAAAACATTTAGACCATGACGGTTATTAACGTAGACGCTAGAAAAAAAAGAAGCAAATATCAAAGTTCTTGAACGAATTTGTTTCATTTTGGTCGTTGCGATCGTTCATATTAAGTGTTTATAGAAAACAGTCGACAGGAAAAACTATGTCTGGTAGAGTGGCTGTGTTGTTATTCTTTGCAGCGACATTTTACACTGAGTTTCCGTTTGCAAGTAAGTTACAATTTCAGTTTGCGAAGACGCCTTCCCTTGATGATGCCTCATTATATGTGAGGATCTTTGGTTACTATACAAACGCATTTTCTTCTTCAGGTGCTTACAATTGGAAAGATTTTCCTGAATCAGAGACGAAAATTATATACCCGGATAAAAAATCGGCGACGATGACATGGAAATGGTCATTACAAAGGAACACGAAAGATAACGAAGACGAAATAATAAACCAGCTCGTCATCAATCGGTACGAATTCGGAAATCAACTTGCTACGGTAAAAACAGTTGGAGAATATTTATCTGCTGGCAAAGGGGTAGTTCGGACTGATGATGATTCATTATTCTCGCTGCGTTTTGAAAAGGGAGCAGTGGGAGGCAAAGATGGCTTTGCAGAATTCACTATCAAAGATGTTGCCAGACAAGGCAAAAATAAAGATGGTTCGGCCGTTAATGTGGAAACTGGAAACTATATGTTTATCTGCAAAATGGCTATAGTTTACGTTGTAAGCAATCCTGGTCCAAAATCGACGACACTGATTGTATATGGTGAGTACAATCTTGACTCTATTAACAGTACATTTTCAAAAATACAAAACAGATACCTGCGATAAGTTAAACTTGAACTGAACTTTTTGAACGACTGTTACTATGACCACACATATCTCAGACGGTATCGATCAGTTTATTCATAT